GTTCACTATAAGAAAATCTGTAAAAGATATTTTATCAGTTTCAGAAGAAAGACGGACGTAAATGGACTTGGACTTCCAAGCAATTTCTTCCAGACATAAAAATAAAAAGTGACCACTTTCAAGCTTTTTTGGATTTGCACTCTGCACCTTATGGATAACGTTCACGTGGGCCCTGGTGTCATGGTGACAAATGCACTCTACCATTCACTTTTTTATTTTGTATCAGGAATCAAACTCAGGACTTTACACTTGCCAGGCAGTAGCACCACCACTGAGCTAAATCCCTGGCCTTCTACCATTCACATCTTGACAGAGGAAGAAGGTGAGAGGTTGAGGGGAACAGAGCAGAACTGAACTGCAGGCACCAAGAAGGAGAAGGGGATCCCAAGTTGGAGCCCATCCAAGCAATTTAGCAAGACATTGCCTCAAAAGAAAAAGGGCTGGGGATATTGCTCAGTGCAAAAGACCAAGGTTCAATCCCCAAACTGCAAAACAGAAAAAGAAAGAAAAAAGAAAAGAAGAGAAAAAGAAAAAAGTCACTGTATGGGGTAGAGGGGCCAAGGCTGGAGGACCACAAGTCTGAGGCGAGGCCAAGCAATTTACCAAGGACCTGTCTCAAAACAAAGAGCTGAGGAAGTAGATTAGCATTTCCTGGGTTCAATCTCCAGTACAAAAGAAGTTATTAATACAAGAAATGAAAGAAAACCATGGTAGCTCATCCCAAGTGAACCAGTTCCCACCTGTCCATAAACCTGAACTGCAACTCACTAATGAATATGTGTCATTTGCTTACTACCTCATGGCTATGTTCCTGATTATCCCTAAATTATTTTATACATCATATATTAAGGGTATGCTGTGATTATTTAATACTTACTATATCATTTACTATTAAACATGTACACTGCCCAAACTCATCTCACAAGAATGAAGACATGAGAGACAGAGAATATCTTCACGGGAATGTCAGGACTCCACTGAACTGACTTAAACTCCCAGTTTTACTGAGAAACAAAGGTTAAGATTAGAAAGGCATGACGAGTTATGTGAATTGTTAACTTTATCAAATTTTCCCCAGGATGTTCCTCCTTGTTTTACCAGCATGGCTTGTCTCTGCCCAAGCTGACAGAACACCTTGTTTTCAAGAAGTTCCAAATCCTCAGGGTCAGCAATCTTCTGCACCAAGTCGACCTGTGCAGATTTGGCTGCATGGGGCGCCACAAGAAACTCCACATGAAGCTTAAAGAAGCAAGTATTATACCAAGATCCTATATTTGTTCATGCACTCTCACTAATGTTAACAACATAAAGTTATTTTCAAAGTGCTATGTGGCATGCATATGTTTGGACCCCTGCAATAAAGCTGAAGTTTTACAACAGAAGTATCAGGAAGAAAAGTGTTTTCCTGATCCTTAACCCAAATGAATGTAGAGAATCAGGCATGCTGATACACTCCACAGGTACTTCGTAAGAGCCCCAGAGACTGGCAGCAAGACAGAAAAATATCATCACCACTGCTTACCTCCTCCCACCCACCCCACCTCCTTCTCATGACTGTACCTCTCCGGGCTGCCACACCCCACACACCTGCCCTTGTTCCTCACAGATCTCTGAACAGACTAAGCTTCTCTCTGGCAAAACTCAACTACCAAGGGCCGGGGATTTAACTCAGTGGTTCTGCTGCCTGCCTCCTAAGTGTAAGGTCCCAAGTTCAATTCCTGGTACCAAAAAAAACTCAACTACCAGAAACCTTGCCAAAGCACCACCCAGAGAGGAGAGGAAGTGGCTATGACTTGGCAATGAAGATCTAGGTCTTCCTAGCATCTTAGTGCTAATGGCAAAAGAAAAGTAACAGCAATATGTAGCTAATGTTTTGAGTGCTTACCACCTGTGAGCACCATTAGATGTAATTCCCTTTATGAAACCAAGGAATTTCATGACAAAGAAAAATGATCAAGCCGGGTGTGGTGGCACATGCCTGTAATCCCAGCACTCAGGAGGATGAGGCAGGAGTATTGCTGTGAGTTTGAGACCAGCCTGGACTATACAGTGAGTTCCAGGTCAGTCTCAACTACATAGTAACACCCTGCCTCAAAAAAACCAAACAACAAAAAAAAGATCAAAACAAAAATAACAAAAACACTTTGCTGAGAGGTTAGGGGAAAAAATCACGCACAAAGATACACAGCTAAGAGGCAGCGCTTGCAACAAATAAGGGCAGATAAATACCAGATGTCTTCCTATGCTATGAAGTGTTCAGTAAACTCAATTCACAAGACAAATTCCAGGACATGAGTGAAAAGTACACCAGGTGAAAGTAGCATAGAAACATCGAGGACTCAGTCAGCTGATGACTCATCACGGAGATGGCCAATAGTAGGAAAACGTCAGCAATCTTGGTGTCTGAGGGACTCATTCTCAGCCAGAATGCTAACTTAAGTAACAATGAGAACCCTAACTTGGAAGAAAATCACTCAGGGTCTGCAGATCAATTCACCCTCCTCCCAAGTGGCAAAATTTATAAGGGCAACCAAGTTTCCACCAGACAAGTGCTTGAAGAGCACTAAGGCACAAGCCTAGGCTAGAGGGCTGATGTCAGATACCTGAAATGGTAACATGATTGCAAACACCACCCATCTGGTTTTTCTGGGACAGTCCAGATCTCCAGTACTCTTCTTATAATCAAACAGGTTACAATTCAAATATATAATCACCTTGCTGGGCTAGCCCTGTACATCCGTTCTCTAGTGTTATCAGTCTATGTGGGTCACATCTTTCAAGTAACATACTTAACGTCAAAAAATTACTATACTGTACTCTAATCAGTGTTGTTTCATTTCCTTGTAATTAAACTCTGGTTTTAATCATCACATGTATCTGGATGGATTCAAGAAGCAATCGTGCCTGGCAGACTCGGAAAGTCATTTCTTGTTGGGTACCTATTGTGTATCCTGGGCAGGCCTGGGATGTCATCAGTTTTATGATGACTTTTTTACCTTCAAGTTCAGAAGCTGAGTTTTTGCTTTTTTTTTTTGGTACCAGGGATGGAACTTGGGACCTTGAGCTTGCAAGGCAGGCAGTGGAACCACTGAGCTAAATCCCCAGCCCTAGAAGTTGACTTTTTAAAGTTTTTGTCCCAAACTCTACACATGGAACACTTCCAAAACAACTCGAGTCTTGACTTTCCTCACTGGGGAAGATGAGGGCATTAATCCAGAGTAGGTGGTAGGGTGGAAGGTCTCCAGGAGGAGATGAGCTTTTCTTGAGAAAAAGATGCAAGCTTTACTTAGCAGCTGCAGTCTCATCTATGGACTGAAATTCGAAAATACCTGCATTTGAGAAAGGATTCTGCTACTTTTTAAGACTTAGCAAACCACTGATCAACACGGTCCTGTGAGGTTTCTTCCAAGTGTTATGGTTTTAACTTCTTAAAAACAATTTTCATATATGTTGACAGTATGGTTTTAACTCTTTAAACTTCCTTATTCAACCAATATTTGGAAAGTAACTTACTCTGTGGCAAGACTTGTGCTAGGCATGGGAGTAACAGCGGTGAACAGGATGTCAATAGACTCTGCCCATAAGGGACATACGGGGTGGGGTGGGTGATTGCAACTGAACCCACAACCTCTGCACTGAACTATATCCCCAGCCCAAATAAAGTTTCCCTAAGTTGCCAAGATATTTATGAGAATTCCAAGCTTAAGGACAGTCTGGGCAACTTAGCAAGACCCTTCTTGTAATAAAAAATGAAAAGGGTCAGGGGCATGTAGTCTGAGTTCAATTCCTAGTACTGCAAGGAAAAAAAAAAAAAGAACACAATAGTGATGGAAAAATATGTTCACAGACAGTCACCAAAAAATTCTATTTTATGTGTCCACAAGTATTAAAGTGAAATGGCAAGCATCTAGACATTTAGCTGTTATATATTTCTTCTTGGACATTGGTCCAAGTATCCCTTCTCTATTGCCCCTTACTCAGAAGACATAGGCAGAACCATAAAAAAAAAAAAAAAAACTCATTATAAGTTGAAAAATCACTAGAGTTTTATTAAAATATACATAAGTAACCATCATTTTTCATTTCATTAGAATTGCGAAATTAAGTAAAAAGTAACTGTCCCGGTACAGAGAAATGAAGGCCAAAAGAGAATAAAAAAACCCATCTTCCAGACCAGATCTACCACTTACCAGTCTAGAAAAGGCCTTTTGTATTGTGTCCTTTGCCACAGAATGAGGTGATTCAAATATATGCTGTCTGGGATCAACTGCAGTTCTAAAATCTTACTCTTCTATGAATAGCAGCAAATGCTGATGTTATGTATTAAGTACATGGCAGCTACAATGAAAAGGGAATGAACACTGAATTCATACAAATACTTTTAAGGAAGACATGAGTAATAAAGAAGTTTGTTACTTCCAAAATGCATTGATTTACTGTTTTATTCACACCAACTAGAATATATACACAAAAAAATTGTGTATCATGTTGCTTTCAAAAAATTCCATGTTCCATGAGAACTATATAAACAATGTAAAATGTTTCTGCTACATAACAAAGAAAATCAGAATCCCCATGTAGTATTAGGAAAACATTTAGATAATTTGAATTTAAGTAAAACAAAGTGAAACACTGCAGACCATCTTTTCATGAAGTAGTTTTACATCCCAGAAGCAGTACATTTCATACTTTCTAGCACTTTGGTTTAAATGAAATTAATGCAAGCCAAAAAACAAAATCTTTTTTGGTTCTCACATTAACTGGAACATCAGCAACAAGGCAACTGCACAACTACCATAGGTGACAAGATGAAAACCCATAATGTGCTCCTTCTCCTGGTGGAGGTGGGCATGCCAGGAGAGCTCTTCAGGCCTCTGGAAAGGAAGGAGCACAGCTAGGCTCCCAGCAGTGGTGCTAAGGCTTTATAGAACCTCATATCCAGCTTGGAACTTAAGTGATCCACGCTCCTTCTTCTTCACAAACAGAAACGACCCTACACCAAGGCAACTCAGAACTACAATTCACATTTAAAGTATAACATAAGTTTCTAAAAATCATGTTATTGATAGCATCTCAAGAAATCAATACAGAAATAAGAACATACTTGCATTAATAAAAAGAAAAATGTAAGTTTAATTGTCTACTGACAACAGTTCTTAAACAAAGATAACTATTTGCATGCTACAAATATTTCTTCATCGAGGTCACATTTAACTTTGACAACTGTATAACCAAACAAATCTGAGGAATTTTTCACTGCATTATTTTTATAATTGCATCTTTTCATCTGTACTGTCGAAATGTGAAACTGATTTTTTTCCATTATCGTTTGTTCTGTATATTTCCTTGTAAATGATTCCCTACATCTGAGATTTGTATCTGCGCAACTGTTGATGAATTGCTTTTCTGTCATCCATCACAGGAACAAATTCAAATCCTTTGAGGATTCTCAGTGATGTAATTTATACTGGGACTTTCTGTGAAGACAATCTTAAAAAGAAAAAAATTCTCAGTAAATTTTATGAACTTACAGTAGTAATATAATGCACTGCTGTTTCAGCAAAAGAACATACAGTCAGTCAAGTGCCCAACCTTACAAACAAATACTGCAGTGTGTGAGTACAGGCCTCCTGGAATGAGAGGGCACCAGGGTGCATTCAGTAAAATTAAGGAGCCCAACAATCTGTAATGAATCAAGTATGGGAAATGAAAGATAAAATTTTAAGTTAATTATCTGCCAGGTTAATTTCTAAAGAATAATTCTAAAAAGCATAACAGTATAATTTAGCCAAACTCATCTAAGTATATTTTAACTAATTATTTTGTGGTATTAGTATTATATTAGAAGTTTAAATTCTAGCCAAAATTTTAAAGAGTAAGAGAAAATAAAACTATTATGGTGGGGCCAGGGATTTGGCTCAGTGGTTCTGCCACCTGCCTTGCAAACGCAAGGGCCCGAGTTTGATTCCCAGCCAAAAACAAAACAAAACAAAAAACTATTATGGTGAACAAATCACATGTGAAAATTTTTCATATTATGTAACATCAAAATCCTAGGATTGCCATTGTTGGGTTTTGTTTTGTTGTGTGGGGGGAACAGTCTTGGGAACTTATATCATTTGAAAATTAATTTGCGATAATAGCCAAAACTATTGTATACTAACAATTTGTACTGCCAGGCATGAAAAAATATAAAGTTACAATTATTAAAATACACAGGACACGTCACTATTTTATGTACCATGTAAAAGAAAGACGCTCAGAAAAGGGATCACAAAAAGAATCAAAGGCCCTCCTCAAAGAGGAGGGGACATCAAAATGGCTGCGGCCTTAATGAGGGTAGAGGGAAAAACCATATATGCAGAAAGGATGGTGAAGAAACCTGCAATAGGCAGAATGGGGAAAAAAATTTCCTAACCAAATGGTACACTCAGTCCGCTCAGCTTTTGTGGTCTGAGTTCATACTCAGCATGTCCAAGAACAGTCCAGCAGAGAAATTAGCTTAAGCAGACACAAGTAGGTAGTGCCCCCTAGTGGCTGGCAGAAGACAATGCCAGTTCTTTGGAGTTCAACTTCCAGGCAACCCCTGAGGTTAAAGACTTTCCAAACTCAGGCTAAAACATGAAAAACACATGACTTTAAATGAAATACAATAGATAAGTTCATGGAAGAGAACAGAAAGCCCAACAAAACAGGATGGGGTCTAGTTCAATGGTTCCACAGGTATGTGGTCCTGAAGTTGATACTTAGCAGGAGAAGAAAGAAAAAAGGAAAACCCAGAGTGTAAGACAGAAACATCAAATCAATGACAAAAGGGTAACTATTTAATATATGGCACAGGCAAAAACAATTAATTCTTTAAGAGAAATGGTTAAATCCTTCTCAAGACAATACGTTTTGGGAGGGGGGATACCAAGGATCGAAGTCAGGATCTCGCACTTGCCAGGCAGGTGCTGTGCCACTGAGCTACATTCCCAGCCCCAAACTCTTACACTATAAAGTAAATGAAAAAAATCATGTAAGAACTAAAACAAATATAAATATCTAGGGCTGGGATTTAGCTCAGTGGTGCCACCACCTGCCTTGCAAGCACAAGGTCTGGAGTTCAAGTCCCAGTACCTAAATAAATAAATATCTAACTATCTAAATAATTAAAATTAAAAGTATATATATTATATATTTTAAGACATGCTACCCACCACATGCACCTATCCCAAAAAGCATTTAAAGCATGAACAAAAATAAAAGGCAAATATCAAAATGGAAAATGAATTTGCAAGGACTGAGAGTTACTGTCCTTAAAAATGAGTATTATAAATCTCTGAGAAATGAGAGGACCGTACCTCACACCTCCAGAAAACTGTACAAGTCAAGAACAGGCAAGAAGAGGAAATAAAATCAGACAGTTAAATACAGCGAAAATTTTCAATTTCACTAGTGATGGAAATATAAATAAAAATGATATAATAATTTCTTTCAAATAGGCAACATTAAAAAAATATAGTAGCAATACTCAGTGTTGGCAAGGGTGCAGAAAAACAGGCATATTGACAACAGATACGAAAATTCAACAACTTTTCTGGAATGCAATTTAGCAATAACTATGCATAAAACACCTTTCAAAGTGTGCAATGTTCTGCCAGGAACAGAAGTACATGCTGTAATCTCAGCACTGGAAAGGCTAAGGCAAGATCAAGACCAGCCTGGGCTACATAATGAGACCAGCTCAAAAAACGAGAGTAAGGGCTGGGGATTTATTTAGCTAAGCGGCACAATGCCTGCCTGGTACGCACAAGGGCCTGAGTTTGATTCCCAGTACCAAAAAAAAAAAAGTAAGCTTAAGTGAAATAAATAGGACACATGTGTAAATATCAAATAGTTTCTCTGGTGTGAGAAACTGAAAATATGAGGACCAAAATGTTATAATGGATAATGTGAAATAGGAAGAAAAAGGTCCAGAAGGGAAGGGAGAGTAGGGGAAAGGATAATAGAGAAAGGACAAAATATGGGGAAAGGGAAAAAACAAATAAAATCTTTGTAAATAGGGAGGGGTGGAAGGGATAAAGGGAGGGCAGGGGCATGGTGACAAAAATAAGAACCAAGATATATCCTGTAAGATACAAATTCCCAATGATGAATGTCATCATATTATATACCTAAAAGGTACCAATAAACTTAATGAATAAAATTTTTTAAAAAACAGTATGTACAATATTCTTAGATCTAAAAATGCTACCTCTAGGAATTCATCCCAAGCAAACAGATATGCAAGTAGTATGCAAGACCACATGTCAAAATTATGGTATGATAATGAAAATCTGGAAAATCGTCTAATACCAAACAACAAGGAATAAACAGTAAAACTCTAATATGCAATGTAATGCAACTATTCAAATGTATTGTGGAAGCATTATTTGTACCAATAAAAGATTAGAATAACCTAAATTCTAATAGGAGACTGTTTAAACAAATTAGAGTACAACAAGCAAAGGAAAACACTAAAAGGAATGAGGCAGCTTTTATGTTCTGATATACATTCTCTCTACCTGAGAAGATACTCATCTGGCTCACTTGCTGAAGTGGCACTTTACCAGGGACAGTGTTCCTCACTTCAACTGTTTTTTTACTGTCCATCTTCCCTAGAAAAAGTAGGACCCTTGAGGGCAGAGATTTTTGGTTCACTGCTATGAACCCAGCACCTAGAATAGCACTGGCATTTAGTGAGGCCCTCAAAAAAAATACTAGATGGGCCGGGTATGGTGGCTCACACCTGTAATCCCAGCACTCAGGAGGCTGAGGCAGGAGGATTGCTATGAGTTTGAGACCAGCCTGGACTACATAGTGAGTTCCAGGTCAGTCTCAACTACATAGTGAGACCCTGTCTCAAAAAACCAAAAAAAATACTGGATGGATGGATGAGTGGATGCATGGATAGCAAGATGGAAGCATGCATTCATGCAAGGATGGATAGATGGACGGACATGAAACAATCTCCAGGACACAAAGAACAGTTCATTAATTTTTATATCACATGTCTTTTAGAAATGAAAAAAATGTGTGTTTATGTGCCTGTAGTATGTGTAAGCACATGTCTGGAAGCATACACAAAACTTGGATACTGGTTACCTCTGAACAGGGAAGCTGAGGAAGAGGCATGGAAGATATCTTTCACTCTACCACTTTAAAAAGTTGAGCCAAGTATATGTTAATCCATCCATAAAAACAAACAAGAATTGTCAATACCCACACACATACACAACATAGGCTGATATGGGAAAATTATATCATAAGTTAAGGGGAAAAAATAGGCTACAAAATAGAAAACAAGCTGGGTGCGATGGCACATGCCTATAATCCCAGCATTCTGAGAGTTTAAAGCAGGAGGATCACAATTCAAGACCAGCTTGAGCAACTCAGTGACTTAACAAGTAAAGCTGCTTCTCCAGTGATCACTCACTTCCCCTCAACCACTCTGACTCCTGCTATGACATTAAAACAGCTTCTGTCAAACTCACCAGAGATGTCCCCTGGATGACTATTTGCTTGAATATGCATAAAAAAACTGCTCTAAGGGAACCCCACTGAAAGCAGTTACTTCTCTAAAATGAGAAGGTACAAGCTGAAGGAAATCTTTACTTATCATTAACCATAAGAAAACCAAAATGTGCTAGGCACTTTTATTTTGCAATTTAGAACTCAGTACTCTGTATTTTACTTTTTCGAAGGCTTTAAAATTTCTAATTTAAAAAATACATATTGCAAATTTTTAAAGTAATACATAATGTACTGAGGAAAAACAGGTATCTACTATCTCAGGAGGAGAGTTAGAATACACAGCATGGCCACTTTGCAGGTTGGCTACCTGATCACAGACTTAACCCCTTTCTCTATTCCTTCCCTTTGTGAGGATTAGGAACACAGACAATATCACCTTTGGAATACGTCATACAGACTCGTGGGGAAGGGAACATAGGCCTACTCAATAGCTATGAGTGAACTTCTGGACATGCTTTTGCTTCTCTAATTTAAAGGAATGGGTATAACACATACTTCCCTTTCCCACACTTTATTCATGCTGTGAATATAGACTTGATGTCTGGAACTACAGAAGAATCCTGTAACTATGAGGGAGCAAGAGCCAACATAGAGGCAGAAAGATACGGTAAGTCTGGGTGTTTGGTGATGTTATTCAACAGAGAAAAACCTTTCCTGTTACAGAAGAAAAGTGAGCCTCTATTTGTTAAGGTATTATGAAATGCATTCTGGGATCTACAGCCAAATGAATTCCTAAGTGGTATTTCTCGGAATACCTATTTTTCAAAGATGCTAAAAATGAAAGAAATCAAATTCTACAGTTTTGGAAACAAGGTAATAAGTCAGAAATATATACTGCAAACCAACTCCCTTTCTTGGTTTTTTGTTTTGTTCTTTTTTTGTTTGTTTGTTTTTTGAAACAGGGTTTCACTATGTAGTTGAGATGGACCTGGAACTCACTATGTAGTCCAGGCTGGTCTTGAACTCACAGCGATCCTCCTGCCTCAGCCTCAGGAATGCTAGGATTACAGGCATGCGCCACCACGTCCCGCCCAACTCTCTTTCTTATGGTCTCTATTTTGAATTTAAACAACTAAGAAAAATACCTCAGAGGAAACAGAAAATTGTATTCAACATCAACTCTATACAAATGACTTCAGCATGCAAACATTGAGAATTTACACATATAATGAGAATAAACTCACACAGTTAAGGGGAAGTCTGATCAATGCTGGGGCTGCTCTGGACTAATGTTCATCGTTCGATAAATTTCTTTAAGTAGTAATAGGGCAGTATCTTCAGATTCCCTGTTAAGAAAAGCATATTTATATAAGAAACATTTAGTAGAAATTAAGCTCTATGCACAAAGCTGGTAAATGCAAATGTGCTGTTCTAGTCAATTCGAAGAATGGCAAACGATGGCAGAGTACTATGATCTCAGAGCTGTCCTTAAAATCTGCACAAACACAAACTGATAAACTGCAAAATAGCACTGCAATTCTTTGTGACAAGGACATACAGAAGAATGGCTTCTCAAAGTCCCTGCCACTTCCACTGTGAAAGACATGCCCACACAGTGTGCAAGTACCAAGGGTCTTGGTCAAAGGCAGATAACATACTGCCATCTTGTGGATAATTCATGTTGCGTGTACACTTACAAAGATTATAACAAATCAGAAATATATATCACAAACTAATTTCCTTCCTATCTCTATTCTGATTTTTTTTTAAAGCTAAGGGAAAAATAATGATATTTTAATATATAAGAGTTCAAATTATTAGTAATCCCTAACAAATGCTGAATCATTAAAACTTGAATGTTGCGTGTACTCACACCTAAAGCCCACTCAAATATTATCTTACGTATTTATTTTTTGGTACTAGGGATCAAACTCAGGACCTTGCACTTACGAGGCAGGCGGCATCACTAGTAAGCTAAATCCCCGGGGCCCTCAAATATTATCAAAGTGAAAAATACTTACCAATAGCATAAGTGACTCTGAAGAGCGAAAAGATATTCATTAAAGCTCTCTATTGGCTTTTCTTGAAGAACGTAATCAATTCGGCGGCCTCCATTTAACATTCCAACCTTTCCTAAGTAGTCCTCATCCTTGGAAAAATCTGGACTTTCAACAATCTTTTCTGCTAGAATTTAAACCATTTCAATATCAAAGTCAATCATTTAATCATTATCCTTTGATTTTAGCTGACTTTCTGGGCTCAATCAGAATATCGCTTGACACACGCAGCAAGTGGCGAGCTACCAGGCTCATCCCCATTCCTCCAAAGAACAGGGGAAAAGGGACTGGTTCTCTGAGAGAGAGAGGAGAAAGAGCCAACAGCTGACAGAAGTTATGAAGATAAGGGGTGAGACAGCATTGCAGAAAGAAAGGAACTAGAATTAGAATTTGAAAGTGAAACAATCATGGTACATGAAGTCTATATGGACACAGGTAAACAGTAACAGGTCAGTAATTTTTCATGGTCTTTAAAATGCCCAAATACAAACATAGTTCTCAACTTTGATATTTCACTCAGGTCTTAATAATCATGGTGAAATTTTAAAATAGCAGAGTAAAAAGTTTAGTAACTATCAGGGAAAAAACCTAGTTAACAAAAGATGACACAGATTTTGAAGTGTATCTAAAATTATAATCTATCAGGACAGACTCTCCTTTACAGGCAGAACTTACACAATTTCACAAAAAAAGACTAGAAAAGCTTCATTAAATAATTAACATTTGTTATATTCATACATAACATCTGTACTGGAAAATTACTCAAACATCAAATTTACCTTCAACTACTTGCTTTTCTTCTTCCTCTTTGATTTGATTGGCAACTTTCTCCAATTCTTCTTGCAACTGAGTCGAAGATGTATGAGCACGGGCAAACTCATTCAGTGTCTGCCAGGCACTTTTCAGAGAGCTAATAAAACCCTGCTTCAAATCAGATCCCATACGAGAGAGGCTTTCTTTCAGCTCTAAAGCGAGTAAGATGACACACCAGATTAGTCCCTGGTAAATTCTACATCACGGAAATTAAAAGTTAACATTCTTCTCAGACAGGCTAGGATCTCTTCTTCCTCCAAATGCCAAATATTTAGAGTTCTCAGCCAAGAGCCTTCCCCATGACATGGTAAAATGCCCTGGACTGTTTTACTCTATTTTTTTTAAATGACTAATTTGATCCAGTTTAAACCTATAAATACTCTCTCTCTCTCTCTCTCTCTCTCTCGAAAAAGTTCAAATACCATAAAAACACACACATTCCTATACTTTTTTACTAGAAGTTTAAGAAATGGGTGCACAAGACTAAAAATCACTGCTTTTCTAATGTGTAATTAGGGAAATTGTTTTGAGAATTTAATATTCTGATATAATCAAAATTTAAGCCTCTGACTTAAAAACAAGGAAACCCCCACTCTTTCATTATTTCTCTTGTATAATAACCACATTTAAATTCAAGGTCTATGGGTTAGTAAATTTCTTCTTCTCACTTGTTGTTCGTTAGTTTTTTCATTTGTTTCTTTTGTTTTTTGAGACACGGTATTGCCACATGGCCCAGGCTGGCCTTGAACCCACTATGAAGCCCAAGCCTCAGCCTCCCAAGTGCTGGAGCTATATGGGCCACCACATCCTGCTTGTTTTGTTTTCTGAGACAGGTTTCGCTGTTGCCCAAACTGGCCTTGATCTAGCTGAGTATAAACTTGCAGTCCTCCAGAATGATAGAACTACAGGCATATACATCAATACAACTGACTCAAATTTCTCATTTTAACTTCCAAGGAGTTATATATTTTTGTAGCAAAACAAATAAAAAACATATTTTTAAATAAGAATAAACTGGGCATGGTGACACACACCTGTAATCCCAGCACTTGGGAGGCTAAAGCAGGTGGGCCACTTCGAGTTGAGGCCAACATGGGCTATACAGTGGGTTCAAGGCCAGCCTGAACTACACACTGTCTCAAAACACAAACAAAATGCTGAGCATGGTGGCACATGCCTACAATCCCAGCACTCGGGAGGCTGAAGCAGGAGGATCACTGTGAGTTCAGACCAGCCTGGGCTACAAAGTGAGTTCCAGGTCAGTCTCAACTACATAGTGAGACTCTGTCTCAAAAAACACAAAACAAACAAACAAACAAAAAAAAAACCACAAACAAAACAAGAAGACATTATTACTTCCTTCTCTTTACACACTCAACCCCTCCACCCAAACCTTTAAACCTAAGGATAAATTATATATGCCATTAACAGACAAAATCAAAATCTAAACCCCACGTGAAATTATCAATCCATTATGTTTAATGATTTATTTTTGGTGGTGCTGTGGAATCAAACCCAGAGCCTAAGCATAGTCTACCACTGAGCTACACTGCCAGCCCTACTTAATGTATTTTTTTAATAAGAAAAGTTTTTCTAGTTGTAAGAAAATAAAACTCACTTGATTTAGACAACATCAAATGTATTTCTTGGTGGTTTGGTCATTAATTGAAATGTTATTCTTCTTTCCGATTTCAAAAATTAAAACCAAACTATCAAAATCTAATAAGAATATCACCTTATTACTAACCGCTCACCCCATTTCTAATTACCTTGACAATTACAATGCCATCAAAAAGAGAGAATTGGGCTTGCTCAATAGTTCCAGCACCTGCCTCGCAAACACAAGGGCCTGAGTTCAATCCCCAGTACAAAAAAAAAAGAATTCATTCATAACTTTATAGCTCCTCCAAATCCTTACTGCAAGTACTGAATACAGTAGGCACTTAACATTAATTCTATAAGAATTTAGTAATAAATTTTCATAATTCATTATGGGGTTTTTTAGGGGGGGGTTTTGAGACAGGGTCTCACTATGTAGTTGAGACTGACCTGGAACTCACTATGTAGCCCAGACTGCTCTCGAACTCACAGTGTTCCTCCTGCCTCAGCCTCCCAAGTGCTGGGATTACACGCATGCGCCACCACGCCCAGCTCATTATGTTTTTGTTTTGTTTTGTTTTGGTACCAAGGATGAACTCAGTTCCTTGTGCTTGCAAGAGGCAGGTACCAGAAACCACTGAGCTAAATCCCCAGCCCTTCATTATGTATTTTTAAATGACAGGAAGGAAACAAGTTTTTATATTCATTTCTTACCTAAATGAAGTCTTTTTCTGCCTTTGTGATGTGGAATAAGAACTGCTTTTAGGTCCAAATCTGGAACAATCATAGGTTCTAATCTATATGCCACTGGATCAAGCTGTAAATAAAGAATTGGAAATTGATGCAAAGCTGCTTTGAGTTATATGCCTAAGGTAGATAAGAAAATAGATAACTGGTAAACCAGAGAGTTTGGCTTTTTTTCTATCATTCAAATAATGGCAATTGTAGATTTTCAAGTTTGTGGTAAACTTACTGTACAAGCAAAAGCAACAGAACTATTTTTGGGGTTGTTTTGTATTGTTTTGGGGGTACCGGGGATTAAACTCGGGAACTTGTGCTTACAGGCAGGCAGTGGAACCAGAGCTAAATCCCCAGCCCCAGAACAACTTTTTTTTTTTTTTGGTACCTGGAATCAAACTCGGGTCCTTGAGCTTGCAAGGCAGGTGGTGGAACCACTGAGCTAAATCCCCGGCCCCAGAACTACTTTTTTTGAACAACAGCTTTCTGAAGAAAAGTTTACTGGAAAGTATGAGACCATATCTCTTGGGAAGAAAGCGGAGCCTTACAAAATCAGGATCAGTATTAATTTCCAAGAAATAAGAATCTGAGAATCTGATATTCAGATAAAAAGGACAGGTTCTTCATCTTCTTCAAAACAAAGTCAATTTAATTCACTCACTGGATGATATATATTGAAGAATCCTTTACAAGTAGGGAGCTTATAGTTCTCATCGATCCTGTCCACTCCTCGAATAGTGAGAAACACACCAATTGGAGATCCCAAAGCAAAGAAAATCTCTGGTTCAAAGTCTAATGAGTTGTGAACAACAGAAACCTAGAAAGAACCAAATACCAATAAAAGATGATCATTCCAACAGCACAAAGTACAATGAAATACATCTCTACTCTTTATTTTTATTTTGAGAAAGGACCTTGCTAAGTTGCCCAAGCTGAAATCAAACTTATGATCTTCTTGCCTTAGCTTCTGAGTATCAGGGATAACCAGTGTGTGCCACGGTAATCAGTGTCTTCAAACAATGTTGGACCTACATTTACAAGCATTCAAACACAGGTGATACTCCTCACAGTTAGCTGCTACTAGCGTAAAGGACTAAAAAGATTTCCTTTAAAAATTTTCAGTTTCCTGAAAATACTGGCTATATTTTTATTTACTGTCTAGTATAATAAATATATATAAGTACTGTTATATATAAGTATGGTTATAAATGTGATCAGAGCTGCAGAACCTGGAGTCATCTTGCCTGAGTTTGAATCTATCTCATACTCCCTGGGTGTCCCTGAGTAACCTCTCTCATCTCTGCCTCAGTTTCATCTATAAAGTGGAGATTATAAAAATACCAAATTCAAAAGAGGAAAAAATTAACCAAATCCACGAGGGCTTAGCAAAGAGCCTGGCAGACCTTAAGCATTCCATGTGTAGTATTTTTATTATAACTTCCATCTTTTCTAGCTAATGCAAATTTTTTCCATCCATAAAATGATCTGTCCCAAAAGAGCTCACTTTGAATAGCTTGGAAGTGGTTTTAAGAAAGACCACTAGTATAGTGCTCTGAACTTGCAAATCTCATTTTTTTTTCCTCAGTGACAGGAAAATGTCTATTATTTTAGAGTCCTGACAGCAAAGAAAAGTAAGTGGCATACTCCACATGCTCAATAGGTCTACCGAAGAGAGAGGGAAGGTATAACTCACCACATCTACTTCTCAGAGGAAGATAGTAAAGATCAGAGAGGTAAACATGACTCACCTAAAGGCACATGGCCAATGAAAGAATGAGGACTTAAACCCAACACTTCTAATTCCAAATACAACATTTCTTCTACTATACTAATTGGGCTGGCTGCCTTTTAGTAGTGAAGACTTCACATCCTAGATTGAACCTTATGTTTGCAAATTCAATAGTTTTGCTCCACCATAAAGAAGGAGGGGAAAAAATTACAAACCAGAAAAGAATAACTACAATATAGATGACAAGGGATAAACACCACTAACATATAAAGATATTTTAATCAGTAAAAGTAGCAACAAATGTAATTCACTACATAAATACAGTGAAAAAAATCACATGATCTTCTCAATAGACATAGAAAAATCTTTTGACAAAATCTAATATCCATTTGTGATTTAAAAAAAAAAATCCCCTGAAAAAATAGAAACAGAAGGTCTCTACCTCAATTTGATAAAAACCATCTGTGACAAACCAACAGGTAAAAACATATTAAGTAAGAGGCTGAAAGCTTTCCCTTTCTCTAAAACCAAGAACAAGAGGAAGATATCTGCCATCACCAGTTCTGTTCAATATAGTTATCAAACATTAGCTAGAACAAGTAAACAAGAAAAAGAGAAAAAGAAAAGGGACAAGATAGGCAAGGAAAAAGCTAAATTATCATTATTTGCAAAGGATATGATCCTCTGTATAGAAGGCCCAAAAAACTCCACCAAAAGACTCCTAGAATTAATAACCAAATTCAGTAATGTAGCAAGATACAAAGTCAACATTCAACAATCAACAGTATTCCTGTACACCAACAACAAACTCACTGAGAGGAAAACTGGGGAAACACTTTCACAACAGCATCAAGAAAAATGGAATACTTAGGAATTAACCTTAGTTACTTTCCTTGTTGCTGAGACAAAATACCTGACACACACAAGGAAGGGAAGGTTTATTTAGTTCACAGTTTGTAGGAGTTTCAGTCCATGATCAGCTGGCTCCAAGGCAGGCAGAAGACAGAAAGCAGAAGGACCAAACTATACTCAACAATAGTAGCTTCTTTCTGCCCCTTTTATATTCTATCTAGGCTAGCCAGCTTAGGGTGAGTGTCAAAACAATCAGTGGACTGATTTAGTAATCACATACCCTTAATTAATCCCAGCATCACACACTCTAGATCCAGCCACCTTTGTAAAAGCCCCACCTATCACTACATGAGGCTTTGTGGGGGGACACATCTAGACATTACCTATAACATAAACTAATGAAGGAAATGAAAGGCCTCTACAACAAAGACTATAGTACTCTGAAAAGGAGAATGAAGAGGATATTAGAAAATGGAAAGACAGCCCCTATTCCTGGATAGGCAGAATCAATATAGTGAAAAATGACCATACTTCCAAAACTGTTATACAGATTTAAGGCAATCCCAATCAAAATACCAATACCATTTCTTACAGAACTCGAGAAAACAATCCTAAAATTCCTATGGAAGGAGAAGAAACCCAGAACAGCAAAAGCAATTCTGGACAACAAAGCCAAAGCAGGGAGCATCACAATCCCTGACATGAAATTATACCACAAAATTACAGTGATAAAAGCAGCACTGTACCGGCAAAAAGCAGATCCAAGAATCAACGGAACAGACTACAAGATACAGAAACAACTCCAGGAACACTCAGCTATGCTATCTTAAACAAAGAGGAAAGACAGACTCTTTAACAAATGGTGCTGGGAAATCTAGCTTTCCACATGCCAAAGACTGAACCTAGACCCATGTCTCTCACCAGGCACTAAACTAAAATCAAAATGGATCAAAGATCTAAACATGAGAACAGAAACAATTAGTCTGCTAGACAACAAAATAGAGAAAACTCTCAAATACACAAGTGTAGGCAAAGATTTTCTGAACAAAAATCCAGGTGCATAAGAAATAAGATAAAAAATCAACAAATGGAATCAGATCAAGTTAAAAAGCTTTTGCACAGTAAAGGAAACTACCAACAAAGAGAAGAAACAACCTACAGAATAGGGAAACATTTTTGCCAGCTATGCCTCAGACAAAGTATTAACTTCTACTATATATGAAGAACTCAAAAAAATTAGACACCTCCAATGTAAAGACACAATCGAAAAATGGGCATCTGAAGCAAATACACATCTCAGAAATACAGCTAATAAATACATGAAAAAATGTTCAACATCACTGACCATTCAAGAGATGCAAATTAAAACAACATTAAGATGAGAACCACGCCTGCTCCCGACCCAGCAGCCATTGCTCAAGCGCCGGGAAGGTAGCCGCGCGGGCGCCCCTGAACCCCCGTAAGCCCCCCTCAACTCGCAGACCTCCTGACTGTGCAAGTCTTTGGACCCACTCTGGCAAGACAGAGGTGGTCATCAAGGGTATTTTTCTGAGTTCCCAACTTTGAACATCTTTAAAGAAAGGGCGTGGGAAACCTGTAATAGAACATTGCGGAGTTCAACCATTCAGAAGGATGGGGAACTCAATCTGGGCCTTGCAGCCAGAGGTCAGTCAGCGTCATGGGGTTCAGCAATCAGCTAACTGAGATCAGGGGTCTTGCATCCTCGCTCTGTCTGAGCCATTAAATGGTAAATATACTATATTGAAAAGTTTGTTCACTGCAGACATGTTCTGGACTGCTTCCTGCTTTCAATTTAATTCAAATGATTTAAGGGTGATAGACTAGTGACTACCACAGATGGTCAGTGTCCAAGTTGTGCTTGATCTTAATGTGTTGCTGATTGTATTAGTTGGGGTAAAGCATTGCCGTTGATTTGATGAGCTGTTTTCTCTGATGTTATGAAGATGAGAATGTCTGTGGGTCATTAGAGACACAGAAGCTAGGGTGCAACTGTATCAGGAAGATTTGGGTGATAATCCAGAGATTAAACCAAGGACAGTCCGCCAACAAAAATTAAAATGAGAAAACACTTAAGCAAGACACAAGGACAGACTTCCAGTTCACCAATGGCAAAAAGTAGGGCAAATGAGGATGTAAAGGCAGATAGTGAAGCACCAGGACACCCTGAACTCAAAGCACAGGAAGTAACAAAACAGATCAATCAGGCTCTGGAAAAATTCAAAACAGAAATAATTTCCCAGATAAATACAGAGATAGTGAGCAAAATAGATGAGCTCAGGACCATGATAGAAGCCATGAAGGCCCAGCATAAGAAAAAAATGGAAAAAATAAACGCCCAACATAGGAAAGAAATGGAATCCATAAAACAGATTCAAACAGATATCCAGGAGATTAAACACTCTATTGAAAGTGTATGCAACAGAATAAAAGAATGTGAAGATAGGCTCTCAGATATAGAAGATAAGATTGCAGTCAGTGACCATGAAAAGAAAGGTCTCTTAAAAACAGTAAGAGATCATGAGAAAT